GAACTTGAAAGGAAGCTACTTAGGCTCTGGATTGCACTGCCCAGAGTTTAAATATTCAAATATTATTTCATGTCTACCCCATAAAATGCTTTCCCCATTCATCTTGGAATCTTTTACAGTGGAAAGATAATGTTTTTTGATACGGAAGTGCACTCTTAAACTACTTGGCTGACCAAACAAGGATGAAAGGGAGCACAGAAATATGTGTTCCCTTTCATCCTCCCTAAATTCTAATTTTAGCTTTTCCCACCCGAGCACTTAGCTTATATTTAACCCAATATCGCTTATGTTACTTATCTTTTATTTAACTCTATCTTATATTTAACCCAGCACCTAGATGATGATGATGATTAACATTTATATAGTACCATCAAATGGGGTCCCAGGATTGCTCATGGAACTCAGTGTGTAGCCTTGGAAAAGTCATTATTTACTGCACTGAGCTGTTGGGAAGATAATGCAGCATAACCACTGGGCCTCAGATAATGATGTGATTCAAGTGCGATGACTGAAATTCCCAATTCTTAGAGATCTTAGCCTTAAGTGATGACTGGAAATCTATCGTTAGAAGAACATCGCTGGCATAAGTTGCTCAATCTTGGTACGCTGCAGTCCATTTCCTTTTTGAAACACTTCAATGGGATGCACAACAATATCAAAGGAGGATTTCACTCTGAAGTTTCTTGCCCCTAACTTGTCGGACTAGATTTGTGAGGAGGCACAGATGAAGGACTTCTTGATCAAACAAGCATAACTTAACGTCACTGAGTGTAGCCTGGGGGGCAATCATGAAAATGAAGCAGGCGCTTCCCAAGCGAAAGAGGAACAATGAAGTATTGATTTTTGTAAAGGAAGCCACATAAAGGGGAAATAATAACTGTGGTCACACATATATTTTAGGTGCAAAAACGGGCAATCCCGTCAAGACAAACGTACCACATGGCTTTTTTCAAGGTACAGGATGTTACGATGAGGTTATAGTTAGTAAAACAAAATTCACAAGAGGGAAAAACTTTAGGCAGCACATGTTTTGAGAATCACTTATTGTTTCCACTCACTTTTTGAAGCTTTTGTCTTTTCAGTTGTTTCAAAGTGTGCCAAGACGTTTTAAAGATGTTATTAATGGACTATATTTTCCTGCAATTTTTAATAGAAACAAAAAAAAAGGGGGGGAGAAGCACCTTTAAGTTTCATAGGTAACTGCTGTTTGCTGTTCATATTTTGGTGAATAAAAGGCATTAGAGAATTGTGTTAAAATCGAAGAGATATTTATAAGCATCTATATTTTTAAAAATATGAGGAATAAATAGCAATAGGCAGTCCTGAGATTTAAATTCAGGAAATGTTTTACCACACACACACACAATTAAAGCGCTTATATTCCACCCTTGTAGCATAATCACTCAGATATATAACATTACAGTTCAATAAAACAATGTCAAATAATGGCCAAAGAAGTCAGGATCAGCAGTTAAAAACATCAGTAAGACATTTTATGCCTTGTAAAATAAATGTCTGCTGGAATATAAAGGTCTCTGGTAATCAGAAAGATGTTGAGGGACCAACCACATTTTATGGGGTGAAATGTTCCATGATCTGATTGCAGCCACTGAGAAGCTCTCTGATTCAGAATTTAAAAGGCCCCAAAATCCTCTGGGACCAAAGTGTACATTGGGTATTCTGAAATGAGAAATATTTATCTATTTTGCTTTACATTTATATCCCACTTTTTCTATAAGGTGCTCAAGCTCGCACTCATGGTTCTCCGTATCCTAATTTTATTCTCATAACAACCTTGTGAAGTAAATCAGAGTCTATGAAGTAAATCAAGGTCTCCCAGTGAGATTCATGACTGACAATTTGAAACCGGGTCTCTCAGACCCTAGTCTGATGCTCTAACCACTATACCACACTTATTATCACAATATACCCTAAAACGTGTATACTATCACTTTCCTCAAGCAGCACAAGCATGGCACTCCTCATGTTTGGCCTCAGTATATAGTATATAATAAAAGGTTGTATTAAATGAAAGTGTAAGGAGACTATAGAATATATGAAATCCTATGAATATTGTGATATTAGAAGGATGTTTATGGATGAGGATGATGGTGGATAGAGAAAGAGATGATATGAAAGACCCAGGAATGTAGAACGATTGCAAGTTAGCATAGCTCATTCTGACTTACCTAGAGAAATAATCTAGTCGGGTAGATAGACGCTTCCTATGTTCCAAGCAGATCAAAAACATCCAATGGTTGCACACCAGTTGTGTCCCAATATTCTGAGCTCCAAATTTTCCTCTTCTGACCAGTGTAAAAATAAGCAAAGGTGAATGCCTACAGGGAGCATTCATACAATGTCATCAATCCACTCCAGTAGCCACAGATCTCCCAGTCTGAATATTCTAACTCAAACGGTTGTAAGGAGCATGTTCTGCATACTTGTATAGAAGTACTTTTGCACTATATGCTGAAACATGCAATGTGTTTCTATATAGTTACCTTTCCTCACACATCAACAAGCCCTTCACCCTAGCACAGTAGAAGGGGGCACTTCTGAAGTGTTTCATAAGAAGGTGCCGTATGTGATGGGAGTACAGTGATACCTTGGTTTACGAACTTAATCCGTTCTGGAAGTCCGTTCTTAAACCAAGGCATGCTTTCCCCTAGCAGCGGGGGACTCAATGTACAGTGGTACCTCGGGTTACATACGCTTCAAGTTACACACTCTGCTAACCCAGAAATAGTGCTTCAGGTTAAGAACTTTGCTTCAGGATAAGAACAGAAATCGGGCTCCAGCGGCACGGCAGCAGCAGGAAGCCCCATTAGCTAAAGTGGTGCTTCAGGTTAAGAACACTTTCAGGTTAAGAACGGACCTCCGGAACGAATTAAGTACTTAACCTGAGGTACCACTGTACAAACAGGAAGTGGAACATGTTCTGCTTCCAAGGCAAAGTTCACAAACCAAAACACCTACTTCCGGGTTTGCAGCATTCTTAATCCAAGTTGTTCATAAACTAAGCTGTTCTTAAACCAAGGTACCACTGTACAACTCCCAGGATCCTTGGCTATTGACTGTGCTAGTTGAGGATGATGGGTGTTGGTGTCTGACATAATCTGGAGGGCCACAGGTTCCCCAGGTTTGATCAACTTGCATGCGGTCCCAGTGCCTTAGTGTGCTTTTTACCTTTATACCACTTCCAACACCCATGCCACTGTGTTTCTCACAGCCTAGTAACAGAGCACACCATTGTGTCCATAAATTTGAAATCGAATACCAAAGGACCGATTGCCCCTTTCCAAAGAAACTTGACTTCCACAAAACATAGTTCTGATAGAAATGTTGCATTTATGAATAGAATAAGATTTCTAATCATAACCAGGGCTGCAGGAAGTAGCACAGGGCAGAGGAAGAGATAATGGACATGCCACCCCAGCTGTAGAATGACACCAGAAGGCTTTGCCACGGAAGGAGACACGGCTGAGAAATGCCAGATAACTGCATCTAGCTCTGACATGGAAGCTCTGGAAGTTATTTAAAACATCACTTTTGATTTATTTTAATCTGTGGGCCATGCGTATTACGAGTAGGACTGTTACCAAGAGCAGACATGGCCCCCAACGCTCCCAGCCAAACGGGTTGCAGTAATGCATTTGATGAGGTTCACATCAAAATGTAGCTTTCCCAAAAACACCGAGGAGGAAAGCTGCCAAGAATGGGCTCTCCATTCTGTTCCACATAACTTGAAAATAATGGCTAAATGGAGCGATGTGACAAGAATATGCCATATCATGCCAACAATCTCCGCCCCCCTCCCTATTGTTGCAGATTTTGTCTTAAGAATATTGTGATAAACTACTCTTTGTTTTTAAAGAGGGAATAAGAAAAGGATGTGGCTTTTGCTTTTTATGTGGGGTGGTTAAAATGAGACCACCATGAATAGCCATTGTAAGAATCCATTTTCATTGTCTATGAAACATTCTACTATATGGAATTTACCCTCAATATCCATTTCAAAACAAATGGGTCATTTCCAGTGTAAGTTCTATTCAGAAAACAAATGGACATGACAAACTTGGGTTCATTACTTTCAATGAGTCTACTCTAATTTAAAGTGGGTATGAAAAATGAAAAAGCATACAGACGCAGTCAAACATTTAAGAAATTACGACCTATATTCCTTCTGGGAAACATGGTCTGATTGCAGATCTAAAGCCATGCCTTCATTTTTTTCTTTTTATTATTAGACAATGTTTCTTTCTTTACCTTCCTCTTCTTTGCTCAACATACTACAATGTATATATGCCTATTTATTTTTATTTAATTCAGCAAATCAACACAGTGGGTGAGGTCCAATTTCAGACTAGTGCAAGAGGTTGGAGAATTATCATTGTTGTGGAAATGACTGCACAAGTAAGCCACAGGTTGCACAAGAATTTTCACAAGTGCAAGAAACCAATTGCAAGCAATCAATCAATTACAAGCAACCAATTGCCACTAGGGAAAAGTTGTATGAGCAGGTTGTTGCTACAGTTGTAGATCTCCCAGTAACAGTGAGCAAATTTCTCTGCGCCTGTCATCTTGTTTCTTCTTTGAGGTTAAAAGGATGGATGGCGAAGGAGAATCTGTCTACAGGGTCTGTTTTATTCCAAGGTCGTAGATAACAGAGCAGATCCCACAAGCTGAACTCGTATCATATCTTATCCACTTGATTTTGTCTAAAAGGTTCATGCCTACAAAGAATGAATAAATGTGGTCTATGCAGTTACTCATACTTGGAGAAGGATTCATCATCCAATAAAGGACAGCACAACCTGTCTCTGCCTTCTACTGTGTGCTGCCAGTTTTTAATTCTGTGAGTAGATCGCAGTCTCTTGGGAGTTGGCCACCCCTGTTATAAGAGATTCAAAACACTTTGTAACTTCCAATAGGGTAAAAAATGTCTCAAAGGTCAAATATAATTAATTTCAGAACTGATATACAATTAAAGAGCTGAATAATTTTTGGACTAAGTTTTATTTACAGATCACAGTGATTTTCATTGTGCAATGAGGACTGACTTATATATTTGTACAGTACTTATACACATGAGTTCAAACAAGCAAGCAACTTCTCCGACATCAGTCCAAGTCAGCGTTGGAAGTCAAATCTGTTCAATTTGGTTTTTTACACAAATGTAACTATCCCTTACTTACTGTACAACAGAGTATTTATAAAGCTGTCATGTTTGCCATAGAAAAGTGCAAAACATAGGAAATCTGTACACAGTACAGTACAAAGGAATTATGCTACAGTTCTTGAAAGCTGAAAAATTCTGTAGTATAGGAATCACTGAATCTTAGTTTTCCAGGATGGCAAGATGACTGGCTTGCTATTTTCCACTTTCCAAGATTTGTCCATCCAGTTAAACAGTTTAGTACCTACATTTCAATAAATTAAATTTGCTCTTCTACAGCAGATCACCTTTGTTAAATTCAACAACAGCACAAACGTTTGAGCAAGCAAGTACATCTAGGCAATTTAAGGCATGACCCCCATTTCAATTATACTGCATCATGTTTGGTTACAAAATTATGCCCATTATCCACCTTATAATTGAATACAGAGAAGGCCGTAGGGGCGATTTGTTTTGGTTTCATCCATATCATGAAAGCTGTGTGTTGATGTGAAAAGGGGAATTTTTGTTTTGAGTCCCTTAAAAAGATCTAATCATTATAAAAATAAGGCATGAAGAATAAGAATTCTAATAAAAATAAATCAATAGGTGTATGAAAAAAATTAAGTGGAATTTGGGAGAAGCTAGGGCTGTGAAATGAATCTGTGGCCTGCCACATGTTGTTTGACTACAAACTCTCTCATTCCTGATCACTGGACATGAGGGTTGCAGCTATGAAATTTGGAATCCAACATCTGGAGAGAAACAAGTTTCCTCTTCCTGGCATATAGGACTGCAGCCTAAGCCATCTTCGGGCATTATAGTTCCCATATAAAGCAACATGGGAGCAGCAAAACTGGGCTGTGGTTCCAGATCACATGGAAGCTTTTGTGCACACCTCTGCATTTGAAAAGGTACACTTCCCAGTAGATGCCATGCTGTATGTGCAGACACAAGGGGCATAGATACTCACTGATTTTGCATTGCTCCTTTATAGGGGCTATAATGCCCGAATAGAGGTTTAGCTGAACTTGACACCCACTGATTTCAATGATAACCAAGTCAAAGCTAAATTGTTCAATTTACTTCAACTGGACCAAGTTCAACTAACTCAGTCTGGATCCAGCCCAGTGTGCGCAGCTCCAGTTGATGTTTTTTTAATTTATTCATTTTATTTATATAAACTGTCAATAACTATTTCCCCAGGGCAGCTTACAGCAGAAAATTGGAAGATAAAAGCACAACACCCATACTGCATTATCACTTTTCGAGGCAGCCTTTTGCTGTTTCCAGTTTGGTGGTATCCTGCTAAATTAACCATAAGGCAGGCTTCAGACTTCAGTGCACAATATTTGCGAAGCATCACCAGTGCCTTGTGAACAGATGCATCAGAACAGCTCTTTTATATTGTTGTTTATGCTAAGGGAAGCTATATTCTAAAATGCACCTGTCGTTCATACAAATGAAGATTCAGTTTCTTCCTGTGCAGAATTCAATTTACAATACATAATTGATTTATTTTATGGATGATTAACTTGCCAAATGAAAGCCACAATTCTCTGGTATAACTTTTACAGCTAAGGAAATGTTACTTTCCTACTTACTTATTGGAAGCACTATTTCAGTATTATTATTTTTTCCTTGAGAAAGAAGTTGTAATAGCATAACTGAATTCAGAGGATATAAATTTATGGAATAGCAGACCAACTCATAGAATACATTGGCTCAATTTACATATAACAATAAGGCAAATCATGGCTTAGCATGAACATGCATACTCCCACAAAAGAGGCTGTTCCATTCTTCCTGTTTTGAGCTACCCATGGTTTGGCTTAGTGTGTCATGCAAACCTGGGCTGGTTGTTTCTTTTGCTTTAGACAAATTATGAGCTGCACCAGGGTTTGTTCTTGGTTTACAGCTCACAACCTCCTGTCCGGGAACATGTGCATTCATGCCAAGTTGTGGTTTGGCTGAGTGTTATGTGCAAATTAAGCAGTATGTCTTCCTGTATCCACTGTTTTTCTTGCTTAGCGTGGTTCCAACTGTTAAAACTGCTACAAGCTAGAAACAAACAGAAGTACTCTGTTTGCAAGCACCTTAATACATTGCACATCAAATGCCAAGATTCTGCAACACAGGAAGTCAAGATTTGGAAGGTTCATCTCGGAAGAATTATGCAAGACACACAAACGTTGTGTGTTCAGAATCAGTAGATGCAGTAACAGCAAAACAGTCACTTATTCTCTGGCAGATAGATTGTACTAACTGCGAAAAGTACAGAAGGAAAAGCACTAGAACTCATTTGATAATGAGTAGGTGACAGGAAACTGTGAAAAGTTTCAATCCCCTGCCACTTGCAAGACACGCTATCTCCTCTTTTTGGAGTCAGTTTTCCCCACAATGTGGTCTAAAAAAATGTGATCTTATGTACAATAAGAGAAATATGGGTTTTTTGTAGCATCTCAGGTTCAAATAGTCACAGTAAAGGTCTGTGGGGAAAACTGACCAGAAGAGACCAGAAAGCTGGACAAGTCTTTACATTTATAAATTGCATATGCATGAGCCACCTAACAGTGAGGATTTGCAGACTGTGGGGAGAAGAATCAGTCATTGATTTTTTTAAACAACTTCTTCAAATGTACAGACCAAACATCTATAACCATGGTAGGTGTCTAAAGCCATCACTGGAGAGAATTTCACATACAACAAATATTTCTCTGAATGCACAACTGCTGAAATTTTATTTTTAAATATACATGCCAGTTCAAAGTTAAGCTTGCCAGAAATAAGTAAGCTTAAATCCTAGTAGTAGTACTAGGTGTGAACAGCTCAAAGAACTTCTACACATCATAACCCTTCATATGTTGGATTTCCAACTCTAGTCAGTCCCAGCTGATATGGCCAATGATCAAAGGGATGGGACTTGTAGCCACATCTAGAAGGCCACAGGCTCTCCTTGCCTGTTGAGCTCAACCTTGGGATCATGTAAGTATATAGTCCTAATTCTACATATTCTGGTTTATTTCAGCAGTATAAATGACATTAATTGACATGTAGAAGATTCTACTTCGGAATCTGTAGAATTTTAATTTACACACAAAGATGTTCATTAATTTTCACGATGATGACTCAGAAGACCATGTGAATAGCCTTGTTTCCTCAAGTGATACTTATGCAACGTGAAATCTGATTGTAGCAGTTGATCTGTGGTGAATGTTTCACGCACCAAGCCATCACCTTAGGTTGCAGTTGTTCAGTGATGGTAATGCATGTATGAAACAGTGCATATGGCAGAAGATTTATTAGATGAGCTTCAGGTCCCTGTAAGTGCAACGATTCTAAACCTAAACTCAGAGAACACACCTTACCAATAGGTATGATTTTGCCATGATTTCATATAGTTAATGAAAAACATTTTACATAGTCTGCAGTAATCAAGAATCATGATTTGCATGGACAAAATTTCAACTCAAATTCATAAAGAAAACATTGTGTAATCTAAACAAAACATACAGGCCCTTTATCTTTCAGCTTTCAAATAGTAGGGCTGCAGGTGTGGAGCACTGGAAATGTTACAATTTTCTCAAAATTTACTTGTATATTTCTTTTTTACAAAGAATTATAAAATGTATAGAAGATGCTGAAAAACCTATTGATCATTTTAAGATTTTCTTCTTCTAGGGGGCATCTTGAAAAAACATTTAAGAATAAAAACCATAGACTCTGTAAAGTACAAAAATTTACATTTCAGCACAGTTTATGTGCCTTTTTCTGTATTGATTTCTTTATATACACATATTCTAATCTGTGCTTTAAATGACAATCTTAGTATAAACTTATAAAGTTAGTCAATGAGATAACTATGCAAAAATATTTGGGCATAGCAAGAAACAAAACTAAAAATAACTGTTTCTTTTTTAAAAAAAACAAACCCCAAAAAACTATAACAGTTTCAAAGTCTACACCTCAGGGTAGGTGCTTCAGTATTTTAGTTTACTGAACTAATGCCAAATCCATACAACTAAACTTATTGACCCTTTCCCATCTTTTAACATTATTTCTTTATGAATAATGAAGTAACGTTCTTTCACTCATTTCAAAGAAATTCTTCATAACTTTTTTCATGTTCTTCTTTGCCGGTTCCCAACTAGCACATTAATAATCTTCCAGTTTCTACAAAATAAATATAAACAAGTGTTCGATTAATTGATATTGCAGAGTAGTAGATACTTGAATCTCCTTATTCAAAGTTCTGGACGTTATACACTGCATAGACATAACCACAAGAAAATCTCTGCAAGGAAAGATCACTTTCTTTTTTTCATGCTATTTTTAAATGCCTTTCTTGACTTTCAGTCAAGAAAGATCTCAAGGAATTACTTTTTACCAAAGGAAAAATCAGTATGGGTGTGATTCTATAAAGTACGAGAGTGGACATTCATAAACACTATCTGCTGAAAAAATGCGTAAGTGCAACAGGAATGAATAAAGACATCAAGATCATCATGGATGCTTTTACAATGCAGAGGAAGCAGATCTGATCCTTTTCATTTCTTTACCCCCAACAGATAAGTTTGACAAGTGAGTGGGCCTACCAACCTGCCAATCGTGTGACATCACAATGTCAGGTGACCTGTTTTCACCAATGTGTCTTGTAATCACTCCATGAAGGCAAATGTTCAGTGCTTTGCAAGCCCTGACAATCAGCTGATCATTGGGACTTTGTGTGCCTGCAAAGGCCCTTTTGGCCCAACTGCATCTTTACCTGCCTCACAGCTGATACCATATATGATAGGTGTGGCTTGGCAAGGTGGGTCTAATTAAGTCATGTGCCAGAGCTTTCCTATAGACGTTAAAAAGGAATAAAAAGGAAGTAGAACTTAGGGAAGATGAGTATCCAATACCTTAATGACATTTTGTGTCTCACATTTAGAAGTTCTTGAAAATTTCTAAATCTTTAGGAGGTGCAGGAGGCATTTTGTTCCAGTCATCTTCAGGATAAGCTTCAAAGTTGGATGTATCACCATCATTTGATACCTTCGGGACTATAGGAGGCTGAATTAAAAAAGGAAAATAATAATAAATTTAAATCCCATGTCAAATGAAGTATTGGTCTAGAATTTTTCACCCCCTCCCCAATTTTTTTTGCTTGGCATAAAGTTAGCTCATTATCACAGATTAGTTTTAGCACAATTGCTTGGCCTGATCAGTTATTTATCTATATTACTTGACTTCTCTAACACAGCTTCCCATGCAAGAGGGCCGTGTTCAGGCTTAGCCCTAGCTATTCCACCCCCTGAAGGGATCCCTCTATACTGCTTTACAATTCCTTCGGAGGCTAAACGAAGGGCCTTTACCTGTGCCCGTCTCAACTGTTTTCCTACAGCAGTTCTGTCAGGTCGTTACTCCAGAGTTCCCAGCGCAAATAGAACATGCTCCTGCAATGACACGGTTCTGGAGACTATGGAACATGTAATGCTCTTCTGTCCCAACTGGACAGATGAAAGATCTCGGTTCCTAACTCCTCTCGTGAACAAGCTTCATCTCCCAATCCAGCCTTGGATAGTGTCCCTTCTTCTGCAGGATTCTGACCGTTGGATTACCGAGATGACAGCTAATTTCCTGCTTAGTGTGATGAAGAGGAAAGCGGCACCAACTCCTTCCTCAATACCACAGATGTAGTCGATACGCCGCACAATCGAACCTGTTTTTTGTATTCTCTGTCACTCAATGTTTTAAATCTCCCGTTACCTTTGTTATCCCCATTTTCTCAAAGTATTCGCCCAGAACGGCATACACTTTTATCTCCCCACCCCCATTTTATGTTGTTATTTCTATGTATATTATGCTATGGCCGTATGGCTAATGCAATAAAATCATTATATATATATCTATATTACAGTACATTTATATCCCACCTTTCTTTCATTATGGAACTTAGGTTCCTATCTAGGCTCTGACTTGAACCCAAATCTGCTTTGCTCCAGCTGGGTGGATATCTCACCTGCCTTCTGAGAGTCCTATCACTAACTTCTTTTTGTCCATTGGAATCCTAACTTATATTGAGTTTGGGAAATGTTTGGTGTGATGGCTCTGGGATTTCAACATAAAGAACTCAGGCATATGACCTTCACTATAATTCTAGGACAACCTTCCAAACAGATATTTTTTTTTAGCTGAAAAAGAATCAAATGAAGCAGAAGTATAATGAATTATCTCAAAGCTGCGTTTGTTTCTGCACAATTCACCTTTAATTTTCTCTGTGGTACAGCATCCCAGTCTACAGACCTGAACCATCTGTGCCTCTTCACATCATCAGCTCCATTCTTTTAAAGAAAAATCAAATTAGATGTTTATTCACTGACAGGAAATGCCAAAATATATTCTAGCAAACACTTTATGCAGACCCATATGTATTACTGCCATCTGTATTTTGAGGGCACACTCTAGTGCACATACTCCAGTTTGCCCAATTTTTCTGGTTCTCTCTTAAATACTGGATTCCCCAGCAGCTTTTCCTGTACCAAATTTGGATTCTGCTGGTCACAAATCATCCTTTTACATACCGAATGCAAGTAATATTGTGAGATTGGGACTGATTTCTACAAAGCATATACTGAGTAAGGTTTTGATTCTTTTACCCACATGCAATAGTACAAGTTTTTGAAACTGATCTCAAATTTGAAATTGGTATACTATGGGTTGTTCCTTTTTGGGGAACACATGACTGGAGTCCTACTGAATGCACAGAACTGTACACAGTATTCCAAATGGAGTTAGATCACAGATTGGAATAGCAGCAGTTTTATTTTAAAATTGTCTCCTAATGATCTCCGGCATGGAATTTGCCTTTCTCACAGCTGCTTTCTACATAGAATCAACATCTCCATCAAACTATCCATGATGACCCCAAGGTTTCAATCCTGGCCAAGTTACTGCCAGTTTAGGTTCCATCAGCATATATGTGAAACTAAGGTGTTTTGCAGTAACGTGCATAACTTTATGCTTATTTACACCAAATGACATTTGCTACCTATTCACTCAAGTTTGGAGATGCCTGTTTGGAACTTTTTGCAATCCCTTTTTCTTTTAGGGATCTTGAACCAGGGCTTTCTTTCCATCTAGAACTTGCTGGAACTCAGTTCTGGCACCTCTCAGGTGGGCGCCATTACCATTATAAGAGAACAAGGGAGGCAGTCATGGTGAGTTCAGGCACCTCTTTTTCTAGAAAAATAACATTGCCTTGAGCCCCACTGCTCACCCCTAACTCTAGAACGATATGGCTTTCCCACACTTAAAGGTAAAGGTAAAGGTACCCCTGCCCGTATGGGCCAGTCTTGCCAGACTCTAGGGTTGTGCGCTCATCTCACTCTATAGGCCGGGAGCCAGCGCTGTCCGCAGACACTTCCGGGTCACATGGCCAGCGTGACAAGCTGCATCTGGCGAGCCAGCGCAGCACACGGAACACCGTTTACCTTCCCGCTGGTATGCGGTCCCTATTTATCTACTTGCACCCGGAGGTGCTTTCGAACTGCTAGGTTGGCAGGCGCTGGGACCGAACGACAGGAGCGCACCCCGCCGCGGGGATTCGAACCACCGACCATGCGATCGGCAAGTCCTAGGCACTGAGGTTTTACCCACAGCGCCACCCACGTTCCCACACTTAAGAATACATTAATAAGATCCCCCCCCTCCACAAAATAAATCGAATGTATTGAAATTTGGTTTTAAGCAAACCAAAAAGAGCATTTCTGGAAACCGAAGATAAGGAAAACGTTTTATGCCAATGGTTAGGATGTGCTGAGATTTAAAAGTAGCATTTAAAGCTTACCTTCATGTTTCCTAGCCGTCTTGTTCGGTCAACCACAAGAAGTTTTTTAATAAGGTCCCTGGACAAGGGGTGGGGGGAAATTAGTCATTTTTTGAAGTTGTATTTGAGTTCATGATGACAGAAAATATATAAAGGCATCTAATAACAGTGAAAGAAGTAGTAATAGTGGTGGTGGTAGTAGTAGTAGTAATGTAATAAGGCTAACATTTTCCCTGCAGTTATCAGCTTTCAAATGGAGAGAGATTGTAGCTTGAGCAACAAACCTCCAATGCTTAATACTCCAGTTGAGATAACTGGGGTGCAGCTGGGGGAGGTGAGCAATAAATCCACCTTTCAACACACCTTTGACAGGGATGCAGACAGAATAAATGAAAGCTGAGTTGCCAAGAAAACATATGGGGAGGGCAGGTACATATTTCACAATTATTAAATTCTTCGCTGATCTACTCAAACCATTTAGTCAGCATTCCAGTTTGATTAAGTGACCCCTTATAAATACATATTAAGCACACAGCTGCCACCGGCTGAACTAGTATAGTTGTATCGTTTTTCAGCCATGTAATATATAGTTCCTACTCTATTAATCCTTGCTGCAGACTGGGGAGGAGCATGGTCTGGGAGAGGCATTTCCTGCAGAGAGGTCTCCATACTTGCTCGAGTGGTTTAGGAGAAAAGGAACTGTGCAATTGGTGAAGGTCAGGCAGACACCTTTAAGATATTCTCTGTAAAGTCCTACTCTCAAGCCCACTTGGCTGAGTCAGGGCTATGACCCGATCGCTTACATATAGACAAAAAGATCCTGCTCGGGTTTCAGTTCACACTGGAAAGCTTCCCAAAGCTTTGTCAGAAAAGCTCAGGGTTTCTACGCCTCCCTTGCTCTCAAGGGTTGTCAGTTTCCCTGAGCTGTGCCCTATATGCCAGCTCAGGGACGACAGAGCTCCCTGGAGTCTTAAAAATAAGCTCTGTCTGAGCTATAGAAGGCAAAGTAATGTCTGATTTTATGAGATTTGCTAAGCTGTTGGGTGGAAATCTTCATCACACATGCAAATTGCTATATGAAAACCAGAACTAATGCTACTAATTAGGCTTAGCTCTAATTAAAGTTAAATATTTAAAACTCTGAGCAAGCTTTCTGAATTCACATTAGAGCCCCCTAGAATTTAATTAATGTCAAGTATATAAATTAGAGTGTTCTCTCCCCAGAATCCACAGACAGTGCACACTGTACAAATAAATAGTGGCTGCATGTGACAAGCGGCTTCACACACCGTACTTTGAATGACACTTTAAAGTAATGCTAAGGTAGAACCTAAATAGAATAAACCAGTGATTAAGGTGAATGCACTTACTTTACATATAAATCCAGATGCCTGGGGAAATCTATTTTACCAGCAAGAATCTTCTGATATATTCCAAAAGGGTTGTCATCAAAGAATGGAGGAAACCTAATCAAGAGGAGGAAGACACACAAAACCACACAGCTATAAGTTTAAAAATCTTTGAAAGTATATTGCAAAAGCCATAGCCTATTTTAAATGTCATCTGCTTCCCAATATTAGACCTGCAATTATTTATGCATACAGCTGTACTGTATTTACTGAAGTCCAGAAAAGTGACTTCAGTACATACACATGTTGACTACTTCTGCTGCCCCTTGGCCTGGTGTAAACCAAAGAATACACTTTCTAGAAACATACATAAAGCATAGAGAATGGCAGTACGCTTATATCATGCAATGAGTGACAAAATTATGAATGGGGTTTTTTAAAAACACTTTGGGTTGCCTTGCAGCCTTCACTTTTGCCCTCTGAAGCACCCTGCGTCACAGTGAAGTCAATCCTCTTGTTAACAGGCTGGGGGTTTTATGCCTTGGTGTATGCATTCCTCACAATTGAGGTACAGGGCATCTGTTAAAGAAATAGGTCTGATTTATTAAGTGCTAGCTTGTGATGAATAGGGGTCTGACCATAAAGCTTGCTATGCTAGCAAGACCTGGGGTGGCATGTTTTAAATACTGGCGAAGCAGCATATCTGTGCCATGAGGATATTACTTTAGTTAATAAACTTAGTACAAATATTTAGCACTTAAGTATAAAGGAGCTCTAACAAAACACCCAAGACCTCTTCAGAAACATGTTTTTAAGCCTTAGATCCTCATGTGTCTTGTAAATTTTGTCCATCTTGGGAATAATTCCTCCTGCTGTTCCAATTTAAGAAATCATGGGTATTTTGGAATGGTTGATGTTCTGTAGTAATAGAACAGTTAAAAATGGAAGTGTTTGTTTTATTGTTGGAGAAGTCGACTCCAGTTTAATGGCTAACACTATTATAAGACCAGCTATTGAGGGGCAGGGAAAACCTTTTCTTTCCAAATCAGTTAGGTGGAATTGGAAAGTATCTTTCAACTAATTCCTCATGGTCAAAAGAACTCGGGGTATGCCTCTTCTAACAGCAACCCCCCCCCCATTGCATTTTCTGATGCATTGCTGGAGCGGGGGGAGACATTTCTTTTGCTTAAAGGAAGAAAAGGTCAGAAATCGCATTGACCATACCTAAGCCCTTAAGATTGACTAAAGTAGCTCTTTGAACAATTTCCAAGTTAACAGACAATATATTTAGTGAATGTGCATGAAGCAAATATGCTAATTCAATAATTTTGCCACTGTCCTTTAATCTCAGCCACTCTTCCTAAATGAAGATAGCGCAATACAATTACTTAATAACCAGAATAAATTGTGTTGAAATATTACTACCCCTTAGTCTGTGACTGGACTTAACTGTCAGGGGTCCTTTACCGTTACCTTTTTATTCTTCAGTTAGAATGGAAAGGCTCAAGTGAATTCTTGTAAAGCTAATTCTATCTTTTTGCTTATCTAATCACAGCCATTTGCATCTTTGCTTCATTCTAAAACCTTTGAATTGCTCTTACAATTACATAAAACTAGACATTAAAAATGAAAAAGCCCAAATAAAGCCTAGCTGGTGACTTGGAACCGAAGTGTCCTAATCCTTATTTCTGGAGCCACAAGGATCGTTGTTGCATATTTTTTTTTACAAAGCTTTTCTCTGAAGGAACACTGTTGAAGTAAGGTGAAGAAGAAGAGCTGGTTTGGCAAGCAGGCAAGAATCGAGTAGCCAGCAAAAAGCAGAATTTAGGAGCGCATTTGTAAGGAATTATTTTATAAAGTCGTATCCCGGAAGTCGAACGCCTTGCGACTAGAACATTTTGGCTTCCAAATGCCACAACCCAAAAGTGACTGTTCCAGTTTGAAAACGTTTTTTGGAACTTGAATGTCCTACACGGCTTCCGCGGCTTCCGATTGGCTGCAGGAGGAAGGCGGGCGGATCTTTGCAACCCAACACCACATATGCTTAAGACGGCCCTGACAACAGGTCTCTCTTGTCTGCCCTTCAAAAATGCCCAAGCCAAACCCCTCAATGGCTCATCTTTGTATTCTGAGTGGGTGAGTTTTTGCCTGGCTGAAATGTATCCTTGAACTCTTAATGCCTTTTGCTTGTGCGAGTGGAGGAGGATGTTGGTGTCTGTAGAAACCAGGTTACTGTACAAAGGGGGAAATGTATATCTGTTGCTCCTCCATCCACTATTGCCTCTGGCCACACTCATCACTGGAATGTGGTCCTCAAAAGGCTGCCCAGAAGGAAATGTGGCCTCTGGCCCAAAAAAGGCTCCCAACTCTGCTCTAGTATTTGCCCACAGGTCGAAATATCATTAGTGTATCTTCCAGTTCAGGGATAATGCATGCAAAAGGTTGCTGGCACGTACTGAAACATTCTGATCCAACTGAGAGAGCTAACAAATGAAATAAAAATTGAAGTTCTCCAGATTTTAATAAGTCCCTCTAGCCTGCCCTTCCCTTTAAGTGATGTTTTCCTTTGTCACATAAGTTTGGTATCAAGCAAGCACAGCTGGAGTTTAGGAATTGGTTTTTTTAGTGTGCCGTCTGCTGACTGCAGTATTGGGACCTGTGAGCCAAAGCAGAAGTGGAATTTTCTTTATTAATGGAAGATTCCATCAAGCAAGCTTTTCAGATTCTTTAAACATAATTCAGAGTAAGATACAGCTCAGATCAGCTTTAAAAGCCTATAGTATAATATTCATTTGATGTGCATTTAATCAGGCAACACCGTGTGGGTGTGTTAAAAATACTACTTAGGAAATTGCTTCTATTTTTAAAAAACATGTCTGTGCCTCTTTAGCTGATTTGTATAACAGATTCACAGTAATGTTTCTGCAGGAAGTACTTTGATACTAGCAGACCACATGTTGGTTTGACTTGTTTTTATCTTTTTATAGAAGGTTCTTCTATAAGAAAGACAAAGCCAGTAAAAAAAGAAAGGAAAAGACTGCAGGCCTCAGTCCACAGGCTCTCTATTTTAGACTGTTTATGAAAAGCATACAATTCTGTCAGAAACCTAATCAATCCATATTATTCTTAATATTTAAGACCAAACAGATTTTTGCACTGATTCCTGAGAATTGTTTGTAACTGATTGAGTAGATTACTGCCTTAAGTTTGACCATCTTTTCAACTGGTTTGCTTGTAAAAAAAACCCCAACATCACTTGAACTGTAGGAATGAAAATGTGTGTGCATATTCAGGACACAGATCTATGTTTGAAGTGCCTTACTAGTTACCTCCAAGAGATAATAAGAGTTGAAGGGAAAATGCATGGATAAATTATCTGCTATGCATCCCATTTCTGCAGAGTTATACTAATGCAACATTAAGCAATGATACTTTACACAATTCTTTTATAACTGCACCTCCATCTTTTTTTAAATGCAAAGGATTATATCTAGATTAAATTATCTGAACTGAAATAATGATTTCTCAATAAGAATATAGTTCAGCTAACTTGGATCCAACCCTATTGACTTTGCTGGGATAAATCTAATCCAAATGCCAGCTTAACAAATTTATCTTTTGTTTGTGTAGGAAATTGTTTGTGTAGGAAATTTCTAAGAAAGCCTTTCTGCAACAAAGCTAGTTAAATCATCTACGCATTATTCTGAAAATGCTGCCATCTAGTGGATTCAAATATTCATGGATTTATGGGATACTGAATTATAATATTCTCGCTCTGACACACACAGAGATGTGTACATGCAGCAAAAAATGTTGATTAAACAGGTACCAGCAAGAAGTCCAACAAACTCAAACAGCATGAGCCCCAATCTAGCATAGAAACATAAGATTATCAGATGTATCTTCTCATACTGAAATACTGAATGCAAATATGGGATTTGTTCTCTTTTCCCAAAACAGATTCTCTTTGAAAACAGCATGCATGATGAGTTGAAACTTCTTAACATAAATGTGAGAATGTCTTTAAAAGATGTATTGATTTTTTAAAATTAAAAGTGTGATCTATTTCAATTAAAACTTGTTAGCAAGGCATGAAACCTACCACACAAGTGGATCTAAGTGAGGAACATGGGGTTCTTTTTGAATTACAAGTTAATATATGTGCCCCTGAATGATCATCCAACTGAAATATTCTTGCATTTGTCTATGGGTGGCTATGACATGGCTACAGGATATATCTAAAACAGGGATAGGGAACCTGTGACTGTCTAGGTCAGAGCTTTCCAAACTGTGTGTCACAACATGTTAGTGTGTCAGCTGCAGTGTGTAGGTGTGTCACACGAATGCTCCCCACACTCCCCTGGCTGGAAAGGGGTTAGTTTAACCTCCGGTTTGCTAGTAAAACTGAATTACTGTGTCACGAAATGATGCATGTCCAAAAAGTGTGTCATTAACATGAAAAGTTTGGAAAACTCTGGTCTAGATGTTATTTGACTACAGCTCCTATCAACCCCAACCAGGATGGCTGATGATCAGGGATGATGGAACTGCAATGCAACAACATCTGCAAAGCCGCAGATCCCCTACTCCTGCCACAAACAATTCAGCCATATGAGGGCACCAATTACATGGTTCTATTCTATGAAACTGGCACCTTGCCAGGAAGGGGCCACTACCTATTGCATGGGAAAGGCACACACAATTAGTCCCAACCATATGCCTAGGTCACTTAGATGTCGTTCCAGTTGTGTGGGAGTCTCCCATGGATACGTAATACCATGAGACTGAATGTTAAAAGGCACTGTTTTCTCACAAGGAAACAAATATTTATCATCTCAATTTCAGAAGATGGGAATTCTGTGCAGTTAAGTATGCTGATGTTGTGCAGAACAGTCTCATTTTCTGTCTCCAAAATTGCTTTTCCACACAACACGAAAGCAAAGCTGAGACATGTAAAAGAACCAGATTTTCCATATTAGTTCACTGTGAGAAAACAAAAAATATCTGTACTTCACTTAATTCTATATTCCCCATTCAACTTACCCAGACAGCATCTCAAATATCAGAATGCCGAGGGCCCACCAATCTACTGCTCTTCCGTGACCTTTACTCTGTATGACTTCTGGGGCAAGATATTCTGGGGTCCCACAGAGCGTCCATGTCCTAAGAAAAAAATAACAAGGAACAGGAAGCTAAAATTACATTTCATATTTGTGATGGATTAAGCTTTCATTGAAACTGGGCTACCCAAGACCTAAAGGCTTGTAATCAGAAACAGTTCAGCATGTTTAAAGTTATAGGAGAATCACAGCCACATTCCAATACCATATAAACAGCATAACCTATTATAAAATTGATGAGGCTCTGAGAACTGTTCTGATTACTGAATTTATTTGTATTTATTGTAATGCTGCTTATATTAGTTTTACATTTTTGTTTATTTGGTTTTTTTAAAGGTTGTAAACCACCTTGGTATTGTTTTGGATGACAGTATATAAAAGATTACAAAAAGATAAATAAATGAAGTGAACACTTAGTGAATACAATTAGAATTTCCTTTAATGTAAGGCAACTGGAAGCTCCTAAATGTTTATACTCCACAATGAAAGCAAGTGAGCAGCAACTCTCACAGACTAAGCAGAGCACTTTAAAGAACTCCAATTTATCACCTGAAGCAGGAGGCTTAAGCAAAATGGCCACAAATGCTTGGTCACAGCTCAGGGATAACAGTGCCAAATGGTACTGATTTTATCCCAGGGATTTCACATTGTATTTACCAAACCTTTGGCCACAAGACCATTCTGCCCAATCAGATTCCTAACCGGTTGCTACACTACTAAGTATTGAATAGGTTAAGCTAGGTATTTTGAACAAAATTTACAAAAAAAGAGAGAAGACCTCGACTTAGCACAAGAAGAAAATATATATATGATAACTATCTTAATCAATGATGTAGCCAAATTTGCAAATATCTAGTATGGAATAGGAATGCGTCCCATTGACAGTGAGTGGATGAATGACAAAATGAGCCTAACCGCACACCTGATGTTATTCTCCACTTCAAAATATACACCAAGATTCTGCAAATCCACTTACAAAGCTGCTTTTTAGGCAAACGTGTGTGTTTTAATGAGGGAGAATCTTTTACTGGAATAGAAAAGCCAATTTTGAGAGCATTTCTCTGTTGGTAGGTTCAATTTACTTTGGGACTAAAGTAATTTACACTGGAGTTGTGCAAACAAGGATACTTTTAATGCTATAGGGAGCCAAGGAAAAACCCAAGGAAGTTCAGGGAAACTGGAAACAAGGATCTGTGAAATCTTTGAGCTTGTCTGACCAAACTCCAGGAAGCTCCCTGATCTAGATAACTGACAGATTTTGAAAAGACCATCTATATACTCTATGGTGGGTCTCTTCCTCCTTTATGAGAAAGCTAGTGATCAAGTCTGCCTTTTTAAGGCACAACATCAACTCCTGACTAGAAGTTTATCAACTTCTGCACTTTTGAACTTAATATCACTCTTCAATACGAATTTCAAAATCAACTTTTGAAAACAGGAAATCATAGCAGCACTAATGCTTGTACACTGGGTAGAATACTTTAATAAAAACTGCAGGAATGGACAATATGGTGTGTTCTGGATGTTGCTGGGACTCCACATCCCATCAGCCATAGTCAGCATGGACACTGGTCAGGATTGATTGGAGTTGTAGTCCAACAGCATCTGGAGGGTATATACATTGGCTACCTATTCTTACTGACACTGTTATAGTAATCTGCCATCAAAAGATCTACTCAACCGATCACAGCTGCCAATAAATACACTGTGCATATGAGGACTTTTGTCACAATGTAAGTGGACCATGTGAATTTATACAAGGCAAGCTCCTTTTTAAAAGTTTTAGAGATCAAACACATGCTGCATTAAAAAAAAACAACATTCTCCGTTGCATAAAGTAGCCAAAGGCCAATCACTAATCCCTTTAAAATACTTATTTGAAGCTAGAAACAACCCTGGATTTACAACTCTCTTATATGCTACACAGGAGCTAGGTTAGAGGTCCCAGAGGATAATGCACTCTACCATTCCAAGTTTTCTATAGGAATTTATCCCAGTTTAATATAAGAGTTAAAAGCTGTCCCAATGAACAATCACACTTGATATTCCTGAGTGTACCAAAACCAAAGACCAAATATACCTGGTCTCTTTTTTTGAGGCAATAATTCTACAATTCATGTGGGATGCTTTACCAAAGGTTTTCAAGCCTACTTCTAAGGTTGCATTTACTTACTTCAACAATTTATATACTGCTTACTACTGTAGTTTCTAAGCTGTGTACCAAGAAGTTATAAAAGAGGTGCAAAAAATTAAAAATGAGTTAAAAATAACCATAATCCAGGAAAGTTTACTTAAAATGCTTCCTGAAATTTTTAAAAAATGTCTGTACTTAGGCTATATTTACCGTATTTTCCGCCCTATAGGACACACCTTTTCCCCTCCAAAATTGAAGGGGAAATCTGTGTGTGTCCTATGGGGCGAATGCAGGCTTTCGCTGAAGCTTGGAGAGCACACCGACCCCTCTCGCTCTCCAGGCTTCAGGAAGCTATCAGCAAGCAAAGCGCCCCGTGCTGAAGCAAAGCGCCCCGTGCTTTGGGCAGATATCCTTTTCTCTAAAAACTATGGTAGGTGCATTTTTAAAAGCTCGGGCTTCCCCCGCCCCAGCCCCGCAGCTGGGGGGGGGGGATAATTTTTTTTCTTTATTCCCTCCCCCCAAAAAAACCTAGGTGCGTCCTATGGGCTAGGGCGAAAAATACGGTATTTACAAACAATCATTTTTTTTTGTTATTCCAGCAACTGGCTAGTAACATGCTTCAAATAAAATAAGGATATTGCAAAAACAAACAAAAAAATGATTTAAATCAAGTACAGTATTTAGATGAGCATTTTTGCTTGGCAATTTAAATCTGGATATAAACCACGCTTCACTTAAAATCCATCCATCCTGGAAAACTGTATATTCAAATTAGAAGGAATGAAGTGTTCTGAATTTATGATACATTGTTTCCTCATGTTTGAAAAAAACAACCCCTCTTATTGGATTTTTTTTTTTACTTCCTTTCATCCTAAGAGCTTCAGCCCAATAGCAACACTAAATTCAAAACTCAATACAGTGGTGCCCCGCAAGACGAACGCCTCGCAAGACGGAAAACCCGCTAGACGAAAGGGTTTTCCGTTTTGGAGGCGCTTCGCAAAACGAATTTCCCTATGGGCTTCCTTCGCAAAACGAAAGCCCATAGGGAAATCTCCGGGACAGCGGGGAAGCGCAGCGCTGTCCCGGACGGCTTTTGAAGGCAGGCGGGGGGGAGCATAGACTTTCGCCCCCCGCCCGCCTTCAGAAGAGGTCCTGGACCTCTTCTGAAGGCCGGCGGGGGGCGAAAGTCTTTGCTCCCCCCTGCCTGCCTTCCCGGGAGAGCGGAGAAACGCAGCGTGTTTCTCCGCTGTCCCGGACGGCTTTTGAAGGCAGGCGGGGGGGAGCAAAGACTTTCGCACCCCGCCCGCCTTCAGAAGAGGTCCTGGACTTTGTCCCCCCTGCCTGCCTTCCCGGGGGCTTTTAAATCGCCCCGGGACAGCGGAGAAGTCCCCCGCTGTCCCGGGGCTTTTTAAAATGCTGGCGGGCGGCAGCGGAGGCTTCGCTCCCGCCCGCCAGCATTTTAAGATCGCCCCAGACAGCGGAGAAGTCCCCCGCTGTCCCGGGGTTTTTTAAAATGCTGGGGGTGGGAAGAAAAGCCCTTGGTCCCCCCCCAGCCTTCAGAAGAGGTCGGGGGACAGACTGTCCCCGGACCTGGTCTGAAGTCGGTTTCCATAGGAACGTATTAATTGATTTTCAATGCATTCCTATGGGAAACCGTGCTTCGCAAGACGGAAAAATCGCAAGACGACAAAACTTGCGGAACGAATTAATTTCGTCTTGCGAGGCACCACTGTACATCAATAAAATATTAAACACCAAAATAGATGATCAGGATTAAAATTACCCTGTCGCTGCTTAACACCCACCTCCCCAAAAAAGCATGCCAAATAAAACAAAGCAGTCTTGCAGCACTTAAATATAGCTTCAAAGCCTGAACTTAGCAAGTCTCTAGGATATTCTTTTGAAAAATCCAAGGCAGTCATTAAGCACATCCATCTTCAAGGGTCCATAGGTTTTGACTACAAGTCTATTCAAACACTACTCCCATGGTGTCCAGTGGGGCGTTCTCCCAGGTTAATGTACAGAGCATTGCTTCCTTAGTCTGTAGCCTTGTGCTCCACTGGAAGAAGGGGCTATGCCTTGCTCTCCTCTTCAGCCGAATCTTTTGGAGCTGCAGGAGGGGAACAGAGTTGTTTCGGTGCTGTCCCATCTAGATGTTCTGCACCCTCTGTTACTAAAACTTCCAGCCGCACCCTTCCTCTGTAGCTTGCAGCTGGAAAGGGGAGAGGAGTCCTTTTCATATTTTCACTGAGCCCTCTGAAGCCCCATGCAACTAGAGGCACAATCCCCAACCCACTATCTTTCTCTGCAGAGGATGAGCTGGAGCTCCCTCTCATCCTTCTTGCCCGAGGATGCTAAAACACTTGCCATGTCAAGGATGGGAAACGGAAATGTGAACCCCCCACATATCTTCATCTATAGTCAAGAATCAGCTAGCTTTTAAATCCTGCAGTGTAAAATCAGAGAGGTGATAGTATCTGCAGCATTTAGTACACAAGCAGTTCATAGGCAGGCATGTGTGTGCATGCACGGGGAGCCAATTAACAGGAGCAATGTGCTCTCTGCAATCCAACACCATGAGGACACTATGCTCTGCATCAGCTGAAGCTACCACTGCAAGTCACAAAACCTGCTAGCTAGCCTTATCTGAGCCTTATATGGATTAAACGAACTGTCCCATATCCAGTCCATTCTCATGGCCAGATGCTGGGTAGTCAGCACTGCAAGACTTGGATCATAGGGAAATAATACCTTGTGAACTTTCCCCATGTGTAGAAGTGGCAGCGGTGAGCAAGACTTGGTCGCATCTGTTGCCAAGGTGGGCTTACAGTGTTGTGAATGTGTCACAGGCCCTTTCTGTGTTCTATCAATCTTCAGCCAGTGTCTCAACCATCAACCATCAATGATTAATAGAGCAATCATTGGCTTGTTCACCTAATAACCCTGTCTCTCTGTGTTTAGTGGGTTTACTTTCATGAAAATACATGGAAGACTGCAACTGTGTTCTGCACAGCAACAGGCAACTATCACAGTGAGCAGGGGATGGTTTCAGCCTCCAGGTAGAGAGACAGCTTAGCTTTTGACAGGCCATTCATAACCTAGGGCCTATCTGCTGGATGGCATTTCACCCAGAGAGTAAAGTCGCCTTTGCTTCTGTAAACACTGTGGCACTCATAACCTTAAAACACACACACACACACACACACACACACTGCAATCTGTTATCAGCATGAATCAAGCACCAACTGCTCTGTAGTCATCTGCCCTCCTACTTAATCCCCCTCAGTTCCCCAGTAAATCACACTAAGCATAAAGACGGAAGATGCCCAAGAGACACTGAGTCATGACTGTTGCACAAAGGATAACACAACAAGGCAGATTATCCAGGCGCTTGACCTTGTAATAATGAGCAATGGTTTTACTTAACACACACACAGCCTAATAGTCAGTGGCTCTTTCTCACATAGGACTAAAATAGATTTATTTCTATTTTCAGTTGTATTACAGCAAGCCTTCCATTTAGCTCCACTGCCTGACCTTGTGCTTCCACAGGAGGTTCCCTTTCCCAGCCCTAAGCTACAGAAGAAAGCTAGGGGTCCTCTCCTTGCTCTCACCAGAGGGCTATGAAAACACTCAGCTCTGGTGAGGGAGTGGGCAAGAATGTGGACCACAGGTGTAGAACTTTCACATTGCATCTTCAGTTTAATATAGTCTCCAATCAAGATTGTATTAACATTCAAACTAAAAGCTACAGAAGTCATTTTCAAACTTTCTGCTTTCAAGTAGCAGTTTCCATAACATTTTGGCCTGCTGAAGAATCCTTGCACATAAAGCATAGGCACTATATCCCAGCTGAATCAATGAGATCATTTGCAGGAGCTTTACTTGAATTGGTGAGGCTCATTTGACCTCAACGCAAAATCCAGCTTTCAATGCTAGTGGTCCACTCTCATGGAATGCTCTTCCAATACAGATTCAGCAGCAACTTTCCATATTAACCTTCAGACTTCTGCTGAAAACTTTTCTCTACTGCCAGGCTGATGCAGAAAATTGAGAAAAACATTTCCCATAATAGTAAGCTGATGATCTTTTTTGTGTGGTTTTTTAATTGCATAACCGTTGTTGTAAACTGTTTTGATTTTTCAAAATATGAAATTTCAGTATGCAAGTATTTTAAAATATATAAACAAGGTTTTCTGAAGCTACTAGCCATGATGGCTATGTTCCACCTCCACTGTTGGATGAAGGATGCCTCTGAATGCCAGTTTCTGGGAATCACAAGTACTACTGAACTCTGGTTCTCCTACTGAGCTTCCCATAAGCATGTGGCTGGCCACTGTGAGGACAGGGTAGTCTTATAAGAGTTCTCTCCAGCAGCCTCATGATGCTGAAAAGGACCAGAAGTGGTGGGCAGTCTGCCTTTTAGGTAAGTATGCCTGTAATGCTCATCTTCTCCTGGAAGAACTGAAGGTAAACTTGCAAGTAGACTTAAACACCCAGTATTTCACTTTAGATCTTCCCTTATCAGATAGTATACTTCTAAGCTCATTGATGATACATGGGAGACAAAACACCTTATAGAGTATGGAATGGGGAGTTATTGACTACAGTGGTACCTCGGTTTAAGAAGAGTCTGGTTTAAGAATGATTTGGTTTACAAACTCGGAAATAGTGTCCCAGTTTGAGAACTTTTCCTCGGTCTAAGAATGGAATCCAAATGGTGGAAGGCCGCCAGGGACGGGAGGCCTCATATGGGAAAACGCGCCTTGGTTTAAGAACGGTTTTGGTTTAGGAATGGACTCCCAGAATGGATTAAGCCTGTAAACCGAGGTACCACTGTACTTACATTTTGAATGCGGTTAATACTGAGGAGCATACATGCATTGTCAACATCCCACAAATGCTGTGATCCAGCCAAACATTAAGCCCTTGTAAATCCCATTGATTAAAGAATGCACTTCTCTTCCTGGGGGGGAAAGGGTTATAAATGCTCGACTCTGGGTGGATCACAGCCAACAGCTTCATATCCTCTATCTCTAACCAGACCTTTTGTAAGCAATGCTTGTCCTCAAATGTAACTGGGTATAGATTAATACCTGTATAGTATTTTACTTTTAAAAATATGTATCTAATGAAGGCTTGCTGCCTCCTCATTAGGATACAGAGGCAATCCTCATTCATTTCTGGAATACAAGTTGACTCAGAATCTGGCTACCTGCAACCTGGCGATATTGTACAAGCCTTGTTTGGTATGCATTGGAGTCAACAGTAAAACTGACTTCCTAATGAAGGCATAATCTGCTCACCACTACTAAAAGTAATATTGTAACCAGTACCAACACAACTTTTTATGGAAGATAGAGCAATTTTTTTCCATGCTTATACAAAATACTTTGAAAATCCGAATGCAAACATTCCAGGAAGCTGACGACAAGTTGTGACTTCTGCACAACAGTTAAAAACAAACATTAAAACTCTCTGCAGTTGCAAGGCCAACTTCAGAGACGCAAACAAACAAGAGAACACAGATCAAACCACTCTGTTGCAACATATATTTCCCAAATAACTCCAAAAGATTGTCAGTAATTTGCAGTATGTAAACCTTTTTCTTTCTCATTCCATCTAGCTTAGCATTGCAATACCAATCATTCCTCCATAAAAAAGAATGCTAGTTAAAAGTTTAAAGAGACAGGTATCATTTTTTTTTGCCTAACGAATCAGACTGAAAAACATCCAGATTTCGAACATCTAGATTTCATGTCATGTTTTTAGGACAAGCTACTGCCAAATATATGCACCGTACTGTCTGGATAGGAGATAACCTGGAATCATATGCACACTGTCTTATCCAGAATACGAATAAGAATAAGCACTTTACCCTGACTGATTTCAGTAGCAGGGAAAGAAGCAAGGCTGAAAAATGTGTAGCTTTGGTAGGACTGCATATTTAAGGTATTAAATTAAGTGAGCCAATTTCACTAAGATTTAGCAATAATTGTTGGTCAATTAATATTTTTAACCTGCATCCATAGAAATTAATGGATGGGCCTGGAGAGCAAAGTTGTATTTTTCTCACCAAGGAAGGGTAGACAGGTGCTGGTCTTCTGCAACGTTTCTCTAAGCATCTGAGACATTTGTGACCCAACATGATTGTGAGGACAAGCTCATCACCCCTTCCCCCAACCTTAACCTGGAGAAGAGGGCTTAGAGGGGTTTGGGAGACAGCAATTCATTTTGCTGTTTTCCCAAGTCTCTCATACTAATTTTGGAGATCAGGGAGAGCTTCTGCTCTTCTACAGATTTTTAGGGTGAAGGGAAAGTATACATTAAAGCACATGTGCTCACAAGAGGTGAGCTGGACAGTGTGGCGATTACACACACACATGGGTCTCAGGATAACCTTCACAAGAGGGGTATTTATACTGAGTGGATATTTACAGAAGGCAGTACAGATATTCAGATGTTTCCCTGTTACATAAAACAGTGGTGGGGGTGAGTTGTAAACACAAAATGAAACAGCTACCTATCTTGTGTATACTTACATTGTTTTTGAACTGCAGTCTCTTTTGTCTCCCTTTCATATTCCCTCATCATTTGTTCAAAACTACTATTTATTCACCCACAAATTACAATAATTGCTGTTTTCATATACATACAAATATATTTGGCTTGTGCATTAGAAGTTTTTAGATAGGGATAGAAGTATTTTTGGATTTCAGGAATAATAATAGTAATAATAAATAATAGCAACAAGAACCAAGGCATGATTTCCACAACATGAGGAGAAGGTACCAGTTTATATCAACACCTTAAATCTAATCCGGGGCTCTATTTAATACAGTAATATGTACCCTGAGAGCCAACAGTTCTTTAACATTGTAGGGAAAGATCCTATTGCCAGGTAAGATATGTGAACTTGAAGGGAAGCCTAGAAAACTTTACATGTGATTAATAATAATAATAATACCTCATCCATCTAATGATTTACTGTGCTTATTGCTTTTAGATGTTTATGTTTTTAAATACATTTTAATTTCAATTGTTGTATCACAGATGTGCTTACTAACCTCGGCTCCTTTAGCAGAAAGTGTAGTATATAATTTATTTATTTTTAAAAATATAAAGTTAAGAAAATCTCTGAGGATTTGCAAGACATGTTAATCTAGTGGTACCCTGATTATTGAATGCTCTGCTGCAGAAGGTCTGTTGGAGCCTACTTTGTCATCTTTCGCAGGCTATATGAAACCTTCTTAATAAATATAAATACATATGTTTTAATGCATGTTGCATGTATGTATAGCAGTTAACCAAACAGACTAAAAACTGAAAATGTTAATCATGGTTGGTACCACTAGTCATGTTCAAAATTTCATTCTCTGTCCTCTTCCCACCATACTTGCATACCCCCCAAAAATAATAAAGTAAAATAAAATTTCAGTTAAAAAAAGAGCTTACCTATCAACCAGCTTTTTAGCAAATCCAAAATCGGTGAGTTTTATATGCCCCTCTTTGTCTAATAAAATATTTTCAGGCTTTAAGTCTCTGTAAACAATTTCTTTTGAGTGAAGATATTCTATTGCACAAATAATCTCTGCAGAGTAAAACAGTCCAGTGCTGTTATTAAAGCGTCCCATGTTGCGCAGATAACTAAAAAGTTCACCCCCAGGTACATATTCCATCAGCATATATAGAAAGCGTTCATCATGGTAAGTCCAAAATCTGCAATGAAAGAGATACGTGTTTAAAAAAATACTAAGAGAACAACTTGTCAGAAAAGCATAAAATGATTTATTTGTTTTTTAAGGGTTCGAAATATGAATGAAGAACTTCCACTATTCAAAACAGAAGATGTAGTGAAGCACAAGCTCAGCAGCGTGGTCATGAGAAACTGTTCTGCCACCCAAGGCCTGAAACCCCTCAAGATATTTCCGGCATTTGTGGAGGTCCCGACACTAGACCTCAATTGACTCATGGAGCTCCTGTGGGTTGATAGATACATCACAGCTCAAAATGGAAGAGAAGCTCCACACAAGCACAGCAAAAAGCAGCTGGGGGATTTTGGGGAAAACGTCACACATGGCAGCTCTGTGAATATTCTCAGTTGGTTTAGACAGGGTTGAATTACAGCTATGGGTTAATCGCCTATGCATTTTGGCATCACAAATGAAGTGCCATCACCAGTATAAACAGGGGAAAGACCTAAAAGTAACAGACTGCTAAGGAATTTTGAGGCCATTTTTCAGGTGTCATTGCCAAGGGATTGATCATGTAATTGTATACTGCTTTTAAGCCATTTTGGCAAATAAATGGCATATAAAAGTAAAGTAAAAGTAAAAACAAAACAAAATAATAACAGCAGCAGCAGCAAAAGCAGAAGGGGCATTTCAGTCACAACACCCAGACAATGCACATTTCTTTCCTCTAATATTTCATTATAATCTGCTCTAGATCTAAATTGTATTTTTTTTTATTTGTGACTTGTTTTTATGTTGCTTATATACATTAGTCTATCAATCTGTTTTACTGTATCTGTTTTTAGGTTTGCTTTTATTCTTCTTGTGTGAGCCATCCCGAAATTTGTTTTGTAAGGCTTTATGCAAACACTTGGAAATGGATTATTATTAGTAGTAGATTGCATTGAGAAAAGAACATTTATTTTTATTTTTCTGTCCTGAGGAATTTCTATACTTTGTAATTTTCATCCTTGGTGCTGTTTAACCTGGGAAACTTATTGATATGTAAATAAAAAGCTATATACTGGGAGGGGAGAGAAAGCAAGCAGATACAGGTTCAATGCACCCGATACAGGTTATAGCCACTTTTTGCTAGCATAAAGCGCAAGGTAGGACACACCTTTTTTTGCTGGTCCTACCTACCTATGGTAGCGCTTTGTGCTCTACCCTAGTCTGTTGTTTGATGGTCTCCCAATCTTCGGGAACAGTTTTTCAGGGATGCAGCAGCCATTATGGGTAAAGGGAATGAGTAAAAACAGGATGCACCATCTGGCATGAGTTCTGTTTGCTTGAGGTTCCTAGTGGATGTGCTTTCTGCTGGCACAAAGCTGTCCACTAGAAACAATCCTATAACTCTTCAGTCATCAGGTGCTTCTCTGCTTTATGTTTTCTCTTGCCACTCTACCTCTTTCAAAACTCTTTCACCCATAATTGCTTAACAGGTTGTCATGAAAAACTAGTTGTGGTGAGCTCAGAATTAATGCGTTCATTTCCCCCTGGTTTAATTAACTTGGGAGTCTTTACTTGAACACTGGACAGGACTTTTCATTTTAACTGGGTTTGCTTTGTATTCTCTTCCTTCCCTTTGCCTTATCAGGAAGCAATCTTGCTATGTTGAAATTACTTTTGCAATACGTACCCACACCCCTTCTGTTCCTATCAGTTTTCAGTGAAATGCTGACATTTCCGGTGGCGTGCATTACTCCACCCTTTACCACAAGATATTCAAAACAAGCAATGAAGCATATACACAGGGATCAGATTTCATGCTGTTTTCAAACGCAGGGAAACAGAGTGGCATGTTAAATCCACTGTACCACCAGCAAGTGCAATGGTCAATATTAAAGTCCTCCATGGACAGCTGCCACATTTCCTCTGGGGTCAGGGTAGAACCAAAGTCCTTTCTTTGCCAATGAAGGCTATCAACAACTCTTAGGTTGCTCTATTAAACACATGAAAGAACATAGGGATGCATGACCAAAAATGAGCTTATGATTTGTCAGAGATGCATCAAAGACTGAGAGAGATGAATAAAATTCTGCTTTGAATGCACTGATTCCCCCTTCTTTTTGCAGCACTCTGTTCACCCCCACCCCACCCCAAAATATGTTCAAGAAGGTTGGGGGATCTCTGAAACACTGTAGTAGTAGACATATTTGACTAATTAGCATACAAGACCACATTGTTAATAGCTATAGGAATCACCCTAATTTGAAGGGTGGCAGCTTCCATTAATATGTCACCAGCTATGGCATATTTCCCCCCCTACTATAGTTTTTGTTTGCTTGCTTGCTTGCTTAACCACGACAGCTGTTGGTGCAGTTTGTGAGGACTTGTGCCTTAGTAAAAAGACAATGGAACATTCTGAAGTGGAATCAAGCACACAACAGGCAGGCACGACTACTACATCATGTTGTGTATGTTCCAAGGAGCAGTTCTCCATCAAATACATTTTCCGTAACACATTTTGTTTCCTAGCTTTTCTAGATTATCTCCCCCCTTTTAAAAATATGAACACAATATTGTTTAAAGTATTTTTTCAAAAGAAGGATAAAACAAGTGTAGCATTTGCCACCCAAAAGACTTTGAATGAATCCAAACTGACGAGAGATTGAATGCTAGAATTGAACATTATGCCACAAAAGCTATAAAAGGGGGGGGGAGTGGGAGAGAAGAGAGCTTACAATCTGATCAGAAATGGATGATTCACTTCTTTCAAGACCGCTTTTTCATTGTGCACATGCTGTTCTTGTTTTAGTCGAATGACATCTGGAATGCTCATTACTTTCAACGCAAAGTAGCATTTGGCCGATTTCTCTTTCACCAGATGAACCCGCCCAAAAGTACCTGTCCCTGAAAATTAAAGAGCAAAATGTGTCAGTTGCAAAGAACATTATCTTGCAGTTAAGATGTGTAAGGAATGAATAAATGCAACAAATCAATATAAAAGCAAATGGTAGACATTATATATTCCTTCATAGCTTTGGCCCTTCTAATCCTAAATACTTCATGGCAATTTTAACAGGGAACAGGCTAAACAGTCAGCTCCACCTGCAAAGAACTCTTTACCCCCCTCCTCCATCAACAGTGGCTACAGCCCTTCCTTCTGATACCTCTACTGCCCACTGCCCTTCCCTAGGCTTTGGGTTTGTGAATGGATGTGAGCATATCAGATAACTAAGAAGCTCCCGTATACCAAGTTGGACCACTGGTGCATCCACATCAGGAGTAGACAAGTAGACCATCAGATGTTGTGGACTATAACTCCCATCACCCATGTTATTGGCTGTACTGACTGGGGCCGATATAGTCCAAAACATCTGGAAGGGATTAAGTTGGCTATACCCCCAATTTACACTTATTGGTAGCAGCTCTCCAGGGTTTTTGACAGGACTCATTCCTAGTCCTCCTTGGAGATGTTGGGGCATTTTAAATGCTGGGTTTGTGAGCAATAGACCTCTATAATAGCTAGAATGTATATAACCATATTTCTCTTGCTTGCTGTTCATATTAAGAAGAGGTACCTGAAGTGCTTTTTAACTTTCTCTCTGGTCAGGCTAGTTATCAGCATGCTGACAAGCACACAGGGCGGCTTTGCCTGCACAAAAATCTGTGTTCCTCTTTCTGTACGGGAAGGAGTGTTGTAGCAGCAGGGAGGGATCGGAAATGAGAAGAGCTAAATGCAACCATTTATGTTTTCTCCCTCACTCTAGAAATTGCTGCTCAGAGTAAAGTTGCACATTGCATATATTTTGTATTATCTATCTGGAATTAAGCATTTTGTGGAGTCTGATGAAAATGAAAAAAAGCATTGCAAGACATTGTGCATTTAAATATTTATACCCTGCTTGTTAACTGAGGTCCTTGCAGCAGCTTACAAAATATCTAAAACACAATGAAACAGCTAGTAGCACAACTGTTAGTAATGCCGGGCAAATGCATGTAAAAGCTTTCCTCCCAGTCCAACTGCCACTCAGCAGCCTGGAAATACCTCCACTGTTGGAGGCAGCATGTCTCTGAATATGAGCTGCTGGGAACCACCAATGGAAAGTATGCTGCTGAGCTCAGGTGCTGCTTGTGAGCTTCACACAGGAATCTGGTTGGATGTTGTGAGGAAAGCATGCTGGACTAGATGGACCACTGACTAATCCAGCAGGCTTTTCCTATGCTCTTATTGCTGCAAGATGGGCCAACAGCCAGATGTTAATTCCTCACTGAGCTGCTATGGTCTGGCCCTAGTGGCAGCTGAACAATGCATTTGGGGAGCCAAGCTGCCATAACCCTCTTCACAGTCCTCAGACTATTATTTTCCATGTCAAACATATATTGCCCATAGATTGGATATCCACCCTCAGTATCGCTTGCAGAGCAATATCCCTTGATTATTTTTCACTTTCTTCACAATTCTCTCAACAAATCCAATTAATTTAAGGAGGAGCAGATGGAACAGCTTCTGTACACCAGCATTAAAAAGACACACAGAGAGACAAAGAAAATCTGCAGTTGGATTTAGTTAGCAAGCATTCGAGTAGATGAGCAGCACACTGTTATAAACACAGTGCAGCCTATGACTATCTTTCGCTAGCTAAGAAACTCAAGAGGCATGCTTCTGAAGTGAGATGCATTCCATTTGAAAACAGCTAGCTGTCTACAGAGCACTTAATACCAAGGATAAGGTTATCAGTTGAAGAGGTACAAAACCAAACTAGGAGCAAAGCAGGCAAGATCTAAGCATTCTAATTTAAAAGCACTTGAGAGTCCATATCACAATGAGGTATGTTTCCTAGTTATGAGTAGAGTAAACCCTGATTCATACAAATAGCAATGTAGTGGCGGTTTTAAGTGGAACCACAGACAAGCTGCTCTGTGCAGAAACCTGATCACATTAAATGATTCAGCACCCGGTTCTGGCATCAGGCAGAAAACGTCCCTCCATAATCAGGCCTTTGACTGATTAAACAATCTATGGACTCTTAAATGTGTTTGTGGAATTGTTCTTTTGGTTTTTCTGTTTGCTTGTTTTTATTATGATAACCTCTTTTGTATTTACATTTTTTACTTTTATGCTGTAAACTGCCCTGTGATTTTTGGATGAAGGGTGGTATAAAAATTTAATAAAATAAATAAATACTGCCATCTCTTTTCTTGGATTGTAGCAATGTGTCGGAAATAAAGCCTAGTTCTGGCTTCCCAAACTTCTTAGACTCAATGACCCATTGATGAGCTTGTAAAGTTGTCATCAACCTCAACCCAAATTCTTAGGAATGTACATGAAATAGGCAAGAAATATCTATCTATCCATCTATCTATAATTAACATTTATTAATCACCAATCACCAATAAAAATGTCTGTGTTTTACATACACATGCACATATATATGGAAGTAAAACAAGTGAAAATAATGACACCGTATTTTTCATCTTCCCTAATGAGATAGAAGATAGAAGTTCCTTTTGTACATGCCCTTGCCCTCTATTTCCAAGGCTCATAGTTCCTAATTAAAATTTTCACAGTATACTTCTTTTCTACCCCATGCCCTTTTTAACACTCCACCCCCATTTCATCCCCTGCCCAGTCCCACTGTCCCCAGGGAGTCAATATCAACCACTTTTGGAAACCCTAAAATAGATGGAATAGTCAGAGGACAAAAGTCTTGGTTTGAAAATAAATTCATAGGAAATTATGGATGTATTCTGTACTTATAGCACTCACTGTAGCACAAAAGGCCGGGAGATGTCATATAATGTACTTCCTGTCTTGCCATCTTCATATTGAGAATACAGAAGCAAATTATTACACCATTGATTACCTCATTAGGAAGTTTCTTTGTTTTACACTTGCCATACTGTATTTTTATGCATACACAGAGTGAGATCTTTAATACTTTTAAAAAAATGTATTAATGCTGAACGCAAGATTTAAACTAGTGATTATAATCTTCTGAAGCACATTAAAATCCTGTTCTCTAAAATAAGGTAGTTCAAATTAATGAGGACAGAAGCTGAAAGCAGAAGCTTCCCTGAGGCAAATATCAAGGTTAAAAAGGGCACATTCATCTTCCACCCCACCCACATATTAATTCTTAAAAATCCAGCATCATCAGTTAGCCATAGCTATAATGCAAGTACATAGAGGGGGAACATCTATGTGAAGCTGCACAGACAGATGGATAAGAGCTTAATTCTTGGGGCATTTTCAGCCCCAAGTGGAAAGCTCCACCCTATGAAGTCAAATCATAACTCTGATTAAGACTCTTCAACTTAAAAGATTAAACAGAATCTCGCCACAAACTGATCCTGAGGTGAAGATTTCCTGCTATGCAACTTAGATAGATTTGCTATATGAATCTACATGTTTAAATTTTTTAGCTTGCTTCTCTCAGTTGTATACTTTTAAAATGGTTTTCAATGAAGTACAATGCATGCATGATAAAACAGTTGTCTATATACCAACTACTACCGAGAAATAAGTTATTATGCTTCAGAGCAATCTAAGGTCCCATGGAGAAAATGTTGCCCTTGGTCTAGCTTTGTGATGGTAGCTAGGAAAAGCGGGTGTCACAGAGAAAGTGGGGTGACAGAGAGAAGACGGGGGCACTGCATACTTTTGCCTCCATCATTGGTTTCAGCCCATTCCATCATGGGCATGCAATCTGCACCCTTGACAGCTCATCATGAAGGGGTGTGTGGTCTTCCTCACACCTACATAAAAATCAGGACCACACAAATGTATCTCCCTCTATGCAGAACTGCTAAAGAGTTATTTAACACACTTGTCAAGAAACAAACGGGAAAACTATAGCCATGCAAAGTCATGGAATACTGAAAAAGCCTGCTAAATAGCTTATCACATCCTGCTTGAGCTACAGTGCATTGATTTAAACATAGAACTATAAACAGCGTTCAGAAAAGGCTTCTTAACATATTCAACTATGTCATCTAACTACCCTGGGAAATTGAACATGTGATTAAATCCCTTAATACTGTTGTCACGTTGCATGCAGATACCAGTAAACAACCTTGTTTTCACGGTGGGCTTGCAACACAATAATTTGGTGAAAACTGTACCTGAGTAACACAACTGAAACAATGATCTATGCCGTTGTGAGTCCCTTACAGATTTAAATAGTGGAAGAGTTAAGAGTTCACCTTTTTAAACACAGTAGTTCTGCTGCCAATTGTTAAGTAGACACTTTAAAAAAATAATTACATAGTAGCAAAGCAGTGTGAGGAAGTTGTTAAGAGAAATGCATGGAAGTGCACAGGTTTGTTACAGGAGCATTTGCAAAAATATGTGTGCATTACTGAAAGTCAAATGATGCCAGCAGTCCTATGTTTATAGGATTCTGTGATTTGGGAAACACTAAAACAAGACCCGGGACCCGGGTGGCGGGGTGGGTTAAACCACAGAGCCTAGGACTTTCTGATCAGAAGGTTGGTGGTTCGAATCCCCGCGACGGGGTGAGCTCCCATTGCTCGGTCCCTGCTTTTGCCAACCTAGCAGTTCAAAAGCACGTCAATGTGCAAGTAGATAAATAGGTACCGCTCCGGCAGGAAGGTAAACAGCGTTTCCATGCGCTGCTCTGGTTCGCCAGAAGCGGCTCAGTCATGCTGGCCACATGACCCGGAAGCTGTAAGCCAGCTCCCTCAGACAATAAAGCGAGATGAGCGCCGCAACCCCAGAGTCGGTCACGACTGGACCTAATGGTCAGGGGTCCCTTTACCTTTAAAACAAGACACTTTATGTGAGCCTCTTAATTTGCAGGAGTCTGAATGTGCAAACCAATAATTCTCACAGGTTGATTAAAATGGTTTCTGGCACTTGGAGCAAAGTGAGAACAGCAACTCTGTTG